GAGCCTGAATACAGGAAGCCACAGAGGGGAGCAGCAAAGAGGTCCTCCCGACGAGGACATGCAGCAGACTCAGGAGCACTGAGCCCCCAGGAGGAAACCCCACTGGTGCATTAGCTGGCATCCCTCCAGGCGGAGGGTGGTCTGGAACAGCTGGGCACAGAAAAACAAGGAGTGGGAAAGGAGGGGGGAGATGACGAACTTAATGAAGAGCAGAAAGTTACACAAAGAAATGTAATTTTAATACACGTGAATGTTAGTTTAATTATAATAATCAAAACTGACTTTTGATTTTGCCAAATCAAGAGGGACACAGTATAAGAGAAACCCTCAATTGCCATAAAATAAATAATAACGAATAAAACTGAAAAATCTAGAAGTGGCAGTTTAAGCATAACCTTTAGGGATATGTATGACCAACAATAGCAAAATAGCCGAGAAAGATGAAGGGTTTTACCTCGGTAGAGCAGGACTTGTCATGGGGATTGGACGCAGGGCTGGAGGTACTGGTTACCCTTAAAAGCCTTTGGGTTCTATTGGGTTTTAAAACTAGAGCCTTTATTTCTCTGATAAAGAAAGGAAAGAGAGAAGAAACAGAGGAAAGGGTCCATTTTCTAGGAAATGTTCTTGGGATACAACCACTTCCCTCCACTTCCCTGGTGAGACTAGCACACAAAGCCGAGCACCTTCCCGTCAGAACCACTGCCCCAGGTCACCACCCCCGCCCAGCACACACACACACACACACACACACACACACACACACACACGTGCGCACGTGCACACACGCACACACATGCACACGCGCACACACACACACATGCACACACACCCTCCACTGAGCTGCTCCACTGGTACCCCTCTTTCAGAAAAGGAACCTTCTTCTAGTTGAAGCTTTCTCTGATAATGGACCCGACCCCCAGTGCCATCTGGGGAAGCAGTGTATTATGCTTCCAGCTTCCATGCCTCAGGATATGGGGTCTGGTCCCACTGCACTGGTATGTCTCATTTCAGAAATTCTCCTTTACCAGGCTCTCCCACCAAGCCCTCAGCCTCCCTGCAGATCCTATCATCCCCCTCAGGCCCCTGCTCCTCCCAAGGCCTGGGTGACCTGCCTTCAATTTCCTGGGCCATCACTTGAGCAGGCCTCGAGTTGGGATCACCCCAACCCTGTGACTGGATTTCTGTTCCTCCAAGGTCTGCACGTGGTTGTCTGCATCCCCGCCCCCCACTTCAAGGCGCTCCTGGCCCCAGCCCCAACGCCTCCCTAGTAGTCACCCCTCCGGAGGGCCTACCCACACAAGCAGCCCTGGCTGGCTATTAAACTCCACTCTGGGACTTTTTGTCCCATTCAAGGCCCCAGCTGCTCATCTCTGCAAGCTCAGTGCTCCCATCTGATTGAAAAATTCCTCCGAGGAGGCAGCTGGGCCGTCTGGGGATGGGGGGTTAAGTGTGATGTGGGGAGGAAGACAGGTAAAGAAAAGATGTGTCCATTTTTATCTTCTCTCCTGCTTCCCCATCTGCTTTCTATGCACAGAAGCAGGACCAGTCCAGAGATATTTAGCTCCCCGATTCCAAGCCTCAGTGAATTCCACCTCTTTCCACCTTCCCCAAGGCTATAGCTTTGGCAAGAGCTTTCCACTAAACTAATACTGGTGGAAATAAATCCATGAACCTTTCAAAGCAGCAAAAACCGGTCTCTCTGTGCCAGTCAGCCTTCTCCCCCTCTACCCTTCACCCCTGCTGGCCCCTCCATCCTTGGTCACCATCCTGAATCTCCTTGGAATCACCGTCCTAGAGCAAAGGGAGTTTGGGACCACTTTTAGAGAAACCATGAGTCCCACTGTTTCCTGAGAGATTTGCAGCACCCCAGCCCCCATGCAGAAGTCCCTTCCCCCAGCCTGCACGCCTGGCGGATCTGAAGGGAGAGCAGAGAGGCTGGAGGGATTTACGCTTTTCCGGAGGCCGCTGGCGTCACAGGCCTGCCCCAGGGGAGAGGGCAGGTGCCGCCCAGCCCCTGCCTCTGCCCCGGCCGCTTCCCGACCTCCAGGTGACGCAGCCTGGAGCCTCGCCGGGGACTCCGCAGGGGCTTCCGTGGGAAACCCTGGACCCGGGCTGATGGGGCCGTGCGATAACCTGAGAAAGGTCCCTACCAACCCATGCTCCTTCCCTCCCACAGCCCGGGCCACTGGTGGGCCCCAGCTCGGAGGGAGACCCATCCGCCGTCCTGACCGTCCCCACTCGACACTGGAGATGGGAGGGTAATAGGCTGGCCACTGGGCAGGCAGGCAGGGCCACAGAATCCTAAAACACCGACTGCCTGTCCCAGGGTCTGGGGCGACCCCAGGCAGGGCATTTGTGGTCACTGGACGGCGCTGACTGCTCAGCGGTCCTCCTTAGAGTGGAGCTGAAACCGGGTTCTTTCTCCCTGCCATCACAGACCTCGGCTCTGCGCAATGAGGCTGCATAGACAGCTCTGGTTCCAGTTTCTGTGGAAGAACCTGCAAGGGCTCTGTGACCCCTGAGGCCTCTTGCTCCCAGTGAAGCTGCTGCCGAGCCGTCCATGGACCTCCAGGTCTTGATTCCGGGATTCCTGCTGGTTCTGACTCCAGGCCACAGTCTCGCTGGGATGTGGGACCTGGTGTCTGGCCTCAGGATCTGGGTCCCACAAGGGTGAGGCGGGTGGGCTGAGAGGAGCTGTTGAGAAAGGCTGCCACTCCAGCCGCGGCCAGGGTCCGGAGAAGCTAGAGCCGATGGTGCCCGGGCCGCTTCACCCCTCAGAAGCTGGCTCCCTGCCTCCCGCTGGGCCTGCGACTCTGGGCTGCAGTCTGACAAGCGTGTCTGTCCTGGAGGTCACTCCCTCTTCTCCTGACACTGCGGCACAGGGCCAGCACTCGCGAGCTGCGCACACCAGCCAGACACAGCGAGGCGGGCGGGACAGCGCCTGGGGCCACAGACGCCTGACCGGCTGGGGGGACCCCGGCCCTGCCTTTGCCATAGAAGAGTCCAGAGTCCGGACGGAGGACACAGCTGAGGGTCATGCTGAGCCGGGCGTCCATACTGCAGCAAGGCCGCGCCTCTGAAGAGCTCTCTGCCCACAGAGAGCTCTGCGGGCTGGCAGACTCAGCCCCAGCCCAGCACCCTCTCCTTTGCATGCTGTGGGCTCGGGCGGGCACATAGCCCCAGAGAGGAGCCTGGAGTCCCGGGCACACTGCTCGGCTTGCCCTTCCCTGAGTCCTCTGAGGCCTCAGCCTCCCATCTGAGCAGAGGGGCTGAGGGTCCCCCCTTACAGGGCTGCAGACAAAGAATAGGGCTTCTGTCACCTTTGTAACTCTCGCATCTGGAAAAGTGTCTGATACATAAGAAACGCTCAGTGATACTTGCTAATGAATGAAAGCACTGAGACCTACAGGGATGCTTAATAAATATTTATTCAGTCTGATAAGACAGAAGTTCCCACTAAAAGGTTCTCCCCGGCTCTCAAATGCTTCCCCCAGTGCCAACCACAATGCTTGAAAATTCTCCAGTGAGACTTTGTACCAAGAAGCACCAGCTTCTCCCATCCCTCGGCAAGGGTGTTATAATTTCAGAGATCCCGATGCATTAAGTAGTCCGCACACTGGCAACAGAGTTTAGCTCCTCTGGTTAAGTTCTTTCTGCCCAGAGGTGCAGAGAGCAGCACCCTGAAGACACAGGACTTGGCTACTAGAGCGTCCACACAGGTGGGCACCCTGGGGTCACCCAGCGCCTGCTTCCTCACACCCCCTGGGGACTACGGCCCAGAGAGGGGAGGACGCCCCCACGTCACACAGCAAGTTGGGGGTATGGTCAGAACCAGACGCCAGGCCCCTGGCCCTGCCCATCATGGTTCACTGGACGCCCATGTGATGAGTGGTGAGCACCACTCTGGGCAAGAGGCAGAGGCGCGCACAGTGAAATGATTCCGAGAGGACAGCCGAGGCCTGTGTGCTCACAGAAGGCACGCGTCTGCACTGTGGGAGCCCCAGCCGAGATAGTCAATTCCAGGCTGGATCCATGCCTGCTTCCTGGAGGAGACAGAGATCCTGGGAGTGGGCCCCAAAGAGTGAGCAGGGAGGAGCCAGGAGAGGAGGTCCTAGGCTGCATAAACAGCCTCCACCCTGGGATTCAGGGGCCAGGTGGATGTGTGTGAGCGTCTCCAGACCGCTGGTAAGCCACAAGGGAGAGGGAAGGAGGCAGAGACGTGCCCCAGAGAGGAGTCAGGGAGAAGCAGAGAGAGGGAGAGGAGTGGAAAGACCAGCTGCTCCACCTCGCTCTTTGGCAGAAAGCAGCCTCCCCCAGTCCTGGGGCCTTCCCTTCCCTTCCACCAACACAGGTCGTCTGAAGATGGACACACGTCCCCGCCCCAGCTCCTTACTTCCAGAGGAGGTCTGTGCTGCACTTTCCCATAAACAGCCGCTGCTAACAGAGACCTGGGAGGAGGCCACGTCGGGGCTCCCTGGATCTGGCTCTGTCAGGGAGTGAGCTGGAGGGATCACCCACGTTCCAGATGGTAACACTGAGATGCAGCCTGGGAGACGCCAGTCAGGGGCACAGCCAAGGTTAACACAGGGGCAAGGGGTCGGGGAGACGGGCTTGGGGGCTGGAAACCGGGGTCCTGTGCTCGTCCCAGCCCTGTCCTGGTTCCCTGGCAGTGCTGTTCCTCATCGGCCTCTGTCTTCCCCGAGGGGTCACAGGGCCAGGCTGAGACCGGGCTGCTGGCGTCACGGTGCAGCCTTCCTTTCCCACAGCCCTCCTTCTAGGCCCCCTGCTCCACGTCAGAAACCTGGTCACCCTTCACCCACTTAGCTCAGTCCCATGGAGGGATTTATTACCGGCGGCCCCGCCATCTGCCCCGCGGTAATAAATCAGGGCAGAGCAGAATCGCAGCCATCCCGACTGTGCAGTGTATAAAAGGAGAGGGTGCTTCAGGGGACCCCAGAGCGAGCCCGGCACCCAGGCGAAGCGTGGACCAGCGCAGCAAGATGCCTCTCTGGGGACTCCTGCTGGTGCTCTGGGGCTCCTGCACCTTCAGTCTACCTGCAGACACTGCTGCCTTCAGACGGTAACTGGGAGAAAGGGCAGGGAAGGAGGGGTCGTCACTTTCCTGACATGGGGGTGGGGGTTCAAACAAGTGATGTCACCCCCGTCACCCTGTCCTCACAAGCAGCCGGGCAGGGAGAGTTTCGTCCCATTCAGAGACGTCAGGTGACTTGCCCGATGTCACACAGCCAGCAGAGGCACTAGCTGGGCCTTTTGATCCTGGCCCAGAGTTTTCAGTTCCTGCACAGATCACCATGCTAGGCACTTTGAGGGGATTCGGAGATGACTGAGACATGTTCTCTGCCCCTCGGGAGCTCACAGACTAATTGCTAAGAAGGGTGTGGTATGGTTAAATCTACCAGGGAAGCAGGGCAACACAGTGGTTAAATGCAAGGCTTCCAGAGCCGAATAGTCCTGGCTTAAATTCTGTTCCACTAGCAGTGCCAGCTAACTCTGGAACCAGGGGCAAGACCCTGAACCTGGCCGGGTCCAAGTTTGCCACTTTAATTTTTTTAATATTCATTTATTTAGCTACACTGCCTGCTTGGATCTTCATGGCAGCAGGCAAGACCTTTTAGTTGTGGTATGAGAACTCTTAGTTGCAGCATATGGGATCTAGTTCCCTGACTGGGGACTGAACCCAGGCCCCCGGTAGTGGGAGCATGGAGTCTTGGCCACTGGACCACCAGGGAAGTTCTAGTTTACCATTTTTAAAATAGGGATAATAAAATACCTATTTTACAGAGCTGCTTTGAAGACTGAATGAGATATTGCCTGTAAATGCCTCAGCCTGGCGCAGGCATGCTGTAAAAACCCAGCTGTTACCATCTCCAGGGGGATTATCACGAATATTAAAAGAGAGGTTTAAGGCCGCCCACAAAGGAGGAGGATAAAGACCTAACACCCATGTTTGGTGACAGGCCCTGAGGGGACCCTGACGGCTCAGCTGGTAGAGAATCCGCCCATAGTGCAGGAGACCTGGGTTCGATCCCTGGGTTGGGAAGATCCTCTGGAGAAGGAAGGGCTACCCATGTACTCCAGTATTCTGGCCTGGAGAATTCCATGGACTGTATAGTCCATGGGGTCGCAAAGAGTCGGACATGACTGACGACTTTCACTTTCACTTTGCTCCCTGAGGGAACAAGCAATTCTTCAAGGCTGCAGGAGCTGGGAGGCGAGTGGGAGAGAGCCTCCTAGAGAAACGGTTTCACGCTGGGGAAGCAGATGGGACCAGAAGGCCTGAGGTTAGGGGGCAGGTTTTCATAACAGTGGTAGTTGCTAGGCCTGTGAAGTGCTGAGGACTTCATAGAATTGTTTCCTGTGTCTCAGCTCAAATCATCCTCCCAACAGTCCCATTTTATAGCTGGGGACACTGAGGTTCAGGGAGGTCAGATGTAGGAGGCTCAGCCTGGGCACGCACTGCGCCACGTGTTTCCAAAGCCTCTTTCCTCTGCTCCAGGGAGAGTAGCTGCTGGGCTGGGGGGGCGTGTGTGAGACGGGGCATTTCCCAGTGGCAGCGTATGCCTGGGCGTGGCCCCGTATGCCTGGGCGTGGCCCCCACCCCGAGGATAAAGGGAGGGAGAGGAAAAAAACATTCTCCCTCGTCTCTTCAGAATGAGAAGAAAAATGGAACTGGACCAGGGTGAAGAGGGAGTCAAGCTTTCCAAATGTACTTAGAGGAGTTTTGCTAACTGACATGAACTTCCCATGCAAGGCTCTTTGGCGCTCTGAACGGCAGATCCCATTCTCAAGATGCTGTCACTGCCTTTTACACACAGAGGCCTTTTACATGTACTGAGCACTGGGCAACTCAATCTGCAAAGTGCTTACTCTCGGTGGTAGGTACTACCGTTAAGTCCAGCGTTACACAGACCCAGAGAGGTCAGGTAAGTTGCTCAGAATCAGGCAGGTAGCAGAGGATTCGAGCATATCCCCACGACCACTACATCCTCATCACAGACGGCACGAGGCTGTGCAGTGCTGGTTATGGACACCAGGGGAAAATGGGACCGGCGTCCAGGCAAAGGGGAGGCCAGTGTGGGGGCACGGAGCTTCCAGGAGGCAGGGCGCACGCTGGCCTCGAGGGCTGGAAAATGCTGGAAAGTGCTGGCCTGGGGGGGATGGGGAGAGAAAGGGGAGAAGGAAGGGATTCTCTAAAAGGAGCCGGTAATAGAGGTCCAGAGTAAACAGTGGGAAAGGAGCCCTCTCTGGGGCCAAGCCTTCTCTGTTCCTCCATTTCCCATCTGTAAAATGAGAATACTAAAGGTACTCACCTCAGGTGATGGCTGAGAATCAAGTAGATCAAAGTCATGAAAATACTTTGTGGAAGAACAGACCATGTTATGAATGTGGCAAGTCATTTCTGTTACAATATTAAAACCAACAGGCATGAAAGTTGCATTCATGTTTGTGAGCAAAATGCATGGGGCCTGAGAAGGAAAGGCTAGTGCAAGTACAGAAGAAGAAACAGGGACCCTCCAAACACTGGGCTGCAAGCCCGGGACCCCCAACAACAGCTCAGGTTGTGGCACACAGCCTGCACGTTGGAGTCCAGGGACCCCTCTTGGGAGATGGGCCAGTCAGGGCACCTTGAATCCCTGCTGCACCTACTCCTGAGTCACCTCATTCCTCACCCCAGAGTGAGGACAGCCAGCCTGCAGAATGGGAACGAGGTCACACGGTGAGGGTGGCCTGCACAGTGCTGGGCACCCGTATGGTGGCAGCTCAGGGCAACGTGACCTCCCCAGTTCTCTTTAACTCTGCCTCTTGAAGGAGACAGGAAAGCATCAGGACAAGAAGCAGAGGGCCTGGGACCTAGGCTCAGGAAGGCGCTTCTTCCCGAGGACAGGCTGCACAGGCACTCTGGAGACGCCTGCCTCTCCCCACCCTGCCCAGTCCAGCCCCAGGGCCCTAGCCGGGTGCGGCCTGCTGCTTCCTGGATCCCGGGCACCGGCCGTGTGGGCATGTGCTGCCACCTGCAGGTCCTACATGGCACTGCCACACCCATCCAGCCGTGAGGCGGCACGCCCAGCCTCCGCCTCCGCCAGTCCAGTCCGCCAGCTCAGCCGTGTCTGACTCTTTGCGACCCCATGAACTGCAGCATGCTAGGCCTCCCTGTCCATCACCAACTCCAGGAGTTCACCCAAACCCATGTCCATCAAGTCGGTGATGTCATCTAACCGTCTCATCCTCTGTCGTCCACTTCTCCTCCTGCCCTCAATCTTTCCCAGCATCAGGGTCTTTTCAGATGAGTCAGCTCTTTGCATCAGGTGGCCAATGTATTGGAGTTTCAGCTTCAGCATCAGTCCTTCCAATGAATATTCAGGACTGATTTCCTTTAGGATTGACTGGTTGAATCTCCTTGTAGTTCAAGGGACTCTTAAGAGTCTTCTCCAACACCACAGTTCAAAAGCAGCAACTTTTCAGAGCTCAGCTTTCTTTATAGTCCAAATCTCACATCCATACATGACCACTGGAAAATCCATAGCCTTGACTAGATGGACCTTTGTTGACAAAATAATGTCTCTGCTTTTCAATATGCTGTCTAGGTTCGTCATAACTTTCCTTCCAAGGAGTAAGTGTCTTTTAATTTCATGGCTGCAATCACCATCTGCAGTGATTTTGGAGCCCAGAAAATAAAGTCAGCCACTGTTTCCACTGTTTCCCCATCTATTTGCCATGAAGTGGTAGGACTGGAGGCCATGATCTTAGTTTTCTGATTGTTGAGCTTTAAGCCAACTTTTTCACTTTCCTCTTTCACCTTCATCAAGAAACTCCTTAGTTCTTCTCCACTTTCTGCCATCAGGGTGGTGTCATCTGCATATCTGAGGTTATTGATATTTCTCCCGACAATCTTGATTCCAGCCTGTGCTTCCTCCAGCCCAGCGTTTCTCATGATGTACTCTGCATATAAGTTAAATAAACAGGGTGACAACATACAGCCTTGACGTACTCCTTTTCCTATTTGGAACCAGTCTAGAGGGGAAGTCAGTGCTTTCCTCCTCCCTCTTCCCGCCCGCTGGAGCCCCTCGAAGGTGGTGATGATCTTTGTATCTCTAGTATCCAGCATGGTGCAGGCACAGAGTAGGTGTCCAACCTGTGATTGTGGAGTGCATGAATGAACAAATGACCTTAAAATTATAAGGAGCAAATTTAAACAACAGGAGCGAGTTAATTGAGGGTCATTTAATACCAGTGCAGGTAACTACGGAGGTCTATAAAATCTGCTTCAGAGACTTAAGAGCTCAAGAGTGATACCTAGGTGCCTGGGCTAAGGTTGGGTAGTTTTGTTAGAAGCTTATAGAACTCTACCATTACTATGGGAGGGGACAGAGCTCTTCTAGTTTTCCTTACTCCATCATGCACCAGGATCTTCCTCAAGAAGATGCCCTCGGTCCGGGAAAGCCTGAAGGAGCGAGGCGTGGACATGGCCCGGCTGGGTGCTGAGTGGAGCCAGCTCAGCAAGACTCTCTCCTTTGGCAACCGCACCTCCCCTGTGGTCCTCACCAACTACCTGGACGTGAGTGCCCAGCTCGGTCCCTTGCCCGCTTCACTCTCTCCTCTCGGGCCTAAGGCTTTCTTTGCCCTTTCTGAGCACCTCACGAAATTCCCATTTCACAGCTGAAAAGACTGAGGCACAGAGGACTGGAAGGAGCCCAGAGGTGGGGTCAGGTTTGGAACTCAAGAATCCAGGCCCTGGGCCCCCAAGTATAGGTGTTGGGGTGGCAGGGGCTCAGTGAGGCATCAGGGTTTCCATGGGGCGTGGGGCATCTCCCTGCTTCACCGGCAGTACATTTAATTTGCCCTCCTGTCTTACTGAGCCTCCCACTTCCTGGTAGGTCATGAGACACTGCTAAGCCTCCAACTCCCTCCCTGCTGAAAATGGAAGCACAGAGAGGCTACATGGTCTGCCTCATCTCACCCCAAGTTCCAAAGAGCATATCAGGAAGACCCCAAGGCCTCCCAAGCCCCTCAGGCCACCTCTCTCCTTCGCCCTGCAGACCCAGTACTACGGTGAGATCGGCATCGGCACCCCGCCGCAGACCTTCAGAGTCATCTTTGACACGGGCTCCGCCAACCTCTGGGTGCCTTCCACCAAGTGCAGCCCCCTGTACACGGCCTGTGGTGAGACCGGGGCCCGGGGCCTCCCCCGCTGTGCCCACCGGGCCTCGGGCCCAGCTCAGCACCTCCTGCCTGCCTCTTCGCCCCCTGCCCCTGAGAGGAGGAAAGAGAATGTCTCCCACTGTTCTGACATGACCACCGAGTAAAAAGCAGGCTCCAGGAGGACTGAGTTCTCAGACCCATTCAGAGAGTGGGCTCTGACTCCTTAACCTCAGGGAGCCAGTGAGTGCTTCCGGGGACCAGAGTCCTCTCACCATCCCGGGGTTAGCAACTACTTTAAAATACTTCATCTGAGACAAAATTCTCAGAGACACGAGCACATTACAGGGGCCCAAGAAATACAGTTCTTGATTAAGCACATTTTTCAAGCCTCCCAGCTCAGGGCCACCCCGTCTTTGCACTCAGGCCTCAACACACGGGCCCCACCCGGCGCCTGCCTTCAAACCCTTCCCTGGGCCTCTCGGCCCTGAGCCTATGTCTCCCCACCAGAGATCCACAGCCTCTACGACTCCCTGGAGTCCTCCAGCTATGTGGAGAATGGGACGGAGTTCACCATCCACTACGGATCCGGGAAGGTCAAAGGTTTCCTGAGCCAGGACCTGGTGACTGTGAGTGAGGCTGTCTCGGCTCATCTGCCCTCCTTGTCCCCAGACCTCCCTAGCGCCCGCGCTTGGGGACAGTGCAGCCCAGCCCACCTTGGAGGAACACCCTCCTCTGCCACTGCTCCCTGGAGCTGCTAGCACCCGGGGCAGAGCAGACAGACTTGAATTCTGGGCATGACCTGAGCGACCTGTGAGGGCCTCTGCAGCTGAGGCATTCGTGGAGCTTGTCCGGAGTCCAGTCTCCAATCGAGGAAGCTGCTTGGGGTCATCCGGCTCTGACTGGGCTCTTAGCCAGACCCTAGACTGAGATCCCAAGTCAGGGTCAGGGTCAAGGGTACTGTCAGCCTTGTGGCCAGGAGCACTTTTGGAGTTAGGCATAGGTTGTAAGGTCATGGCTGAATTCAGAGTGTGGAGTTAGGGTCAGTCCTGGTTCTCACGGTCGCTTGGTCTGTGTCTGACCCGCCTCCATCTCTAGGATTCTCCATTCCAGGAGCGTGAAGGGCAGGCCTGACTGTGGTGCCACCTTCTCAGCCTCTGCCCTCCTAGTCCCTCTGGACGCCCCCAGCCCAGATGTGTGTTATGAGGGCTGCTATGCACGTGGGGATGATAAAGTGGTCACACCCTGGGGCCCGCATGGGAGGCCTGGACAGGACTCTGGCCAGGGGTGGCCTGCGAGCTTGGTCTCCCCTGGTGCTTCCTCCCACAGGTGGGTGGGATCACAGTCACACAGACCTTTGGCGAGGTCACGGAGCTGCCCCTGATGCCCTTCATGCTGGCCAAATTTGACGGCGTCCTGGGCATGGGCTTCCCCGCCCAGGCCGTCGGCGGCGTCACCCCTGTCTTTGACCACATCCTCGCCCAGCGGGTGCTGACGGAGGACGTCTTCTCCGTCTACTACAGCAGGTAGGCTGGGCCCGCGGGGCCGGGGCGGGCAGGGACGGGGCAGAGCCGGGGGAAGAGGCGGAGGGTCTGAGCCAGGACTGTGCTGTGTTTAGGATCAGGTGGTGCTCACTCCATATCCAGAGCTATACGATCCAATGTGGAAGCAAATGCTTAAATGAAAAGGAAATAAAATCAGGCATTCAAATCCTCAGTCATACTGTACCTTTCAGTTACTCAGTAGCCGCAGGGACTACTGGCTACCACATTGGACTATACAAGTACCGCACATTTCCATCTTGGCAGGAGATTCTTTCACTTACAGTTTAGTTCAGCACTGCTCTAGAGCAAGAGAAGAATGCAAAGTGGGGCATTGCCATGACCGCTGGGCCTCCCTGTGAGGGCCTGGCTCCTCATGTGCACTGCTGACTTCATTCATGAGTCCCTTCACTTATCTGCTCAGTCCTTGGCTCCACAAACATTGGACACTGATATGACAAGCACTGTGCAAGGCTCAAGGGGTACAGCCATGAACACAGTATATAAGACAGAGTCCCTGCCTTCATAGAGCTTATAGTCCAGCAGGGAAGAAAAGAAACATTACAATATGATAAGCAAAACAGGGGACATGAGGTTGAAACCCAGGTCAAGCGTACGTGGAGCACAGCCAGGCTTGGGGAAGCTACCACCAGCTGTGGGGAGAGCTGTGATCTGCCCTGAGCTGCTGGGTATGAGCTGGAGACAAGGGATCATAGGTGTGAGAACTGCAGGCCAGCAGCAGTGAGGACAGAGGGGAAGGTCAGCATCCAGAAACATCACAAGGACAAAATGGAAAGGAGTGTCTGGTTTGGCGAGAGAAAGAGAGTGACTGAGAAAAGGCCACCAACTGGCGGTCAGGGGCAGTCTCAGGAGGAGCCGCTTCCGAGGCCAAGCAAGGGCAGGCAGCAGGCTGTGCAGAGGCAGGTGCGGGTCTCAGGGAGGGAAAGGCCTGTCCTGAGCAGTCTGCCCGGGGAGGGGCGCAGACACAGCTGCGCAGAGAGACAGGGAGGGATGTGTGGGTGTCTGTAAATGCTGGAGGATGCCTGAGTAGGCCTGCAGGTGGGGAGAAGCAGCCAGCAGAAGGTGAGAAACTGAAAAGATGGGAAAAGAGGAGATAATTGAGGGGAGGAGCTGAGAGGCCACGGGATGGTAGAGAATCCCAACAAAGAGGCCTTGTTGAGGAGAGGCCTTGCCTCTTCCTTTGCTTTGGGATGAGATGGAGGAAATGTCCAGAGAGACTGTGAAGTGCTGGGAGAGGGGTGAGGGGAACTTGTCTAGCACAGGTGCACATGTACTGGATTTATAATGATGCAATTAATGCACTTGCACCAATAACATGTGTGACCCACACGCTTCCTGTGCACACACACTTGCCTCCTACTAAGAGTGCTGGAAAACCCCATCTCTCTCTCACATACACACACACACACACACACACATAGGAAACCATCCCAAAGGCAGACCCTGACCTGTGGGAGGCATCATGCAGCCTGGAGGAAAGGAAACCAAGGGGCATCAGCTTCGGATGGGGCACCAGAGGCCCTGGCTCCAGTCCCCCACTCACTGCTGGGGTGACTTCAGCGACTTACCTCCTGGTGACTCCACTGCCTGTAGGGTAAAAAGAGTGTGTGATACCACCCTGCCAAACAACAGGCTGGTGGGGCTCACCTGAAACAAAAGCGTCCTTTCTGCTGTCTCTTTCTCTGCAGAGATTCCAAGTAAGGAGACGGAAAGCCCCAACTTGGCCCTGACCCTCCAGAGCGCCTGGCCCAGAATCACACATGTCACCTGCCGCAGACTCACTGCAGCGGGCCAGGCGCCACTGATGCCAAAGCCCTCCGCCCACCCCCACACTCCTCACCCTGCCCACCACCCCAGCAGCTCCCGGGGCTCATCCCAGTGCCACGCACCTGCTCAGGCCCCAGTGAGGTGGGGGCGGTCTGCGTCTTGCAAGCATTCTGCCTTGTCCTGTGTCTGCTCCTCCCGTGACCTCTCTGGGGAGGCTTTACTGGGTGCCGCTGGACCACCCTGGAACCCTCTGACTGAGTTTTGCAGACAGGCAGAGGTGGAGAAGCAGCCTGCCACGCCGCGCCCCAGCCTCACTGCCCGACCCTGCTGCCTCTGCCGACCCTGAGCCTGGGCCCAGCCTCCCTGGTTGCTGGGGTTACTGAGTCCTGGAGGCCATGGGTTCCACAACACTCTAATCTTCCCTTTAGGAATTCCCACTTGCTAGGGGGCGAGATCGTGCTGGGAGGCAGTGACCCCCAGTATTACCAAGAGAATTTCCACTACGTGAGCATCAGCAAGCCTGGCTCCTGGCAGATCAGAATGAAAGGGTCGGGACCCTCAACCCTCTTCCCTCTGAAAGTGCTGCTGCTGCTGGGGGTGGGCCTGGGAGAGGACCGGGCTGTTGTCCCGCCCTCTCTCTGAGTGCAGCCCTTGCTCTCTGCCTGCTTGGTCCGGGGTGGGGACACGGAGATGATGGGTTGGGGGGAGGGGGCGACGAGAAGAGGCGGAGGGTCACTGAGCCATGTGCTGGGTGGGCAGCACCCTCCCCTTCCAGCTCACGTGTCACGCCTCCCTCACCACGTCCCCGGACCCCTGGCATGGCCTCCGTCACCTGCCCACACTCAGGAGAACTGTGCAGCTTGGTGGCGCCCCGCAGCCTTCTGTCCAGCTGTCTGTCTGATGCTGTGGCCTCCCCCAGGGTGTCTGTGCGGTCGACCACCTTGCTCTGTGAGGAGGGCTGCATGGTCGTAGTGGATACTGGTGCATCTTACATCTCGGGTCCCACCAGCTCCCTGAGACTGCTCATGGAGGCCTTGGGGGCCAAGGAGATGAGCACGGATGAAGTAAGGAGCGGGGGGGTGGGGGGGGGCGGGCACCAGGGAGGAGGGTGCACCACCTGGCCCAGGCCCCCAGATCACCCCAGGATGCTTTGGTTCTGAAGGGGACCATTTCCGGCCTTCCTCTCCTGCCTCTCACAGTCTCCCACATGTGGCCTGGGCCCTGGGAGGGAGGATTGGGAAGCTGGGGGCTGTGTCCACCCCTCTCCGGCAGAGGGGCCAGGCCACAAGCACAGGGCTGCGTCTCCTGGGGGATCTCCCACACTCAAAGGGGCTCCTGTGACCCTACCCACTGCAGTATGTCGTGAACTGTAACCAGATGCCCACACTCCCCGACATCTCCTTCCACCTCGGAGGCAAAGCCTACACACTCACCAGCGCGGACTATGTGTTACAGGTGAGACTCTAGTCTGTTCCTCGGTGACAGGGAGGAAGGGGGGCAGGGGCCCCAAAACAGACATGTCATTATGCACAGATTACCTGCTAGACCAGCGGTTCTCAAACTTGGCTGCACACTAGGGTTACCTGGGAGCTTTTACAAATCCCAGTAAAAAGCCACATCCCATACCGACTGACACCTCCAGGGGTAACTGGGCAACAATGTTTACAAAACTTCCCAGGTAATTGCAGTGTGCAGCCAAATTTGGAAATCACTGTGCTCATCTCCTGATCTCCATCCTGATCATATGTCCCCATTAATGCTATCTGCTTTTTATACTCAGTACGTTTAGAGGTATTAATAACTTGTCTAGGACCAGAAGCTCTCCCAGACTGTGAGCTCCTGAAGGCAGCACTGTACTGGATGCATTGTTAGCAGCATCGGCTTAGTGCCTGCCTCTAGGAGGGGTGTGGCCCATGATAGTTGAAAGGGCCAGGATGTGATGGAGGCCCAGTGTGGATGGGGCACAGGTGGGCAGATGCTGCTGAGGAGTCTGGCACGGTGGTTATGTGCCAGGTGGTGGAGAAACCCTTTTGCTTCCTGCCAGGACCCCTACAATAATGATGATCTGTGCACACTGGCCCTGCACGGTATGGACATCCCACCACCCACTGGACCAGTCTGGGTCCTGGGTGCCACCTTCATCCGCAAGTTCTACACGGAGTTTGATCGGCGTAACAATCGCATTGGCTTTGCGCTGGCCCGCTGAGGCCCTCTGCTGCCCTGGCCTGGCCTGGCCCAGAACTAGAGCACTCTCTGGGACCACCCCCCAACCCTCGCCTGCACCCTCACTCAGGGGGGTGGGGCTCCTCCTGGGCGTGTGCCCTGCCCCCAGCACTGGCTCTTCCCTTCTTTGAGGACCACAGAATAAAGACTTCATGTTCCCAACCCCACTGCACCTGGGTTCTCAAGGATTTGAAACAGGGAAGTACAGTGTGTGATGTTGTGCAGACAGGAACGTGACAGAAAGACAAACTATACAGTCGCTCCCAGGCACAGGTTCCTGCACGCAGGGCTGATGCCACCCGTCCAACGTCAGCAGGGTTCAGATGGAGCTGTTTACACTACCCTGGGCGGGAAGTCTGCAGAGAGCCAGCCCCTGGAGAGCCAAAGCTAACGCTGTGGCAGTGGACTGTAGACAGAAAGATGCTCCAAGCTCACGGAGGTCAGCTGCTAGCTCAGGCTCCATGCTTTCCCATGTAGCCCTTTAACACGCCATCTAAGGCACTAACACCTAAACGCATAGAACCCCAGAGGTCTGTCCGATATTCCCTTTGCACATGAGGAGAAACTGAGCCTCAGAGAGTGAAAGCATCCGGCCAGGGTTGCTCAGTGACATGTGAAAACACAACCAGAAGGCTGCCTGTCTGACTCAGACCTTGGGATCTTCCCACCTTCCCACATACAGGTGAACCGTCACAGGCTCAGAGCTTCAGCTACCCCGGTACGGGCCCAGGTGCACGAGCACATAGATCTATGCACTGCGCTCTTCCATATCATGAGACCTGGGGCTCAGGCTGAGGCCTTCTCCCACTCTGCCGCCTTGGACGGCCTGTGGGAGACGTGTAGCTCGGGGAGGAAGAGGCCGTATCTGCCCGAATGAAGCCACCTACACTGTCCCTCTTCATGACAGCTGCTCACCCCTCTTCTGACTGAAAGAAGTGAGGCACCGAGGGGCTTACCCAGGGCCCAGCAAACCTTACACTCAAGAATTACCACCTGTTGGGATTGTCTGGAGCCCTAGGACCTCTCCCGGGCAGCATTCCCACATCTGTGACGGCCCTGTGCAGAGCCAGGAGCATGACTCTCTGAGTCTTCTTGCCTGCTTAGCTGTATTTCCTCGCTGCAGGAAGGTTTGGAGTCAGAGTCCTTTCCCAACATCCTGGGCTCCGTGACCTTAAGCAGCCCCCACCCCCAACATCTTCTATCCTGTTCTATAAGACAGTCATATACGACTGCTTACATTAAACATAAAATTGAATTAAATGGGGCACTAGCCCCGTTTCAGTCGCTGGACAGTTACACGTGGCTGATGGCCACAGCCCTGGACAACACATAAACAGAACACTCATCAGCCCAGAAGTTTGGAGGGGCAGAGCGGGATTCTGGGCAGCGATGAGGACAGGGGCCTTGAGGTTGGGAGGTTCCCGAAGAGGTGAAAGGGGCAACGTGGGGAAACAGGCACTTTCCTGGGTGGCGCCGCGAGCTCTCTCCCAAGCAGGTTGGTGACTGAGGTCCCCACCGGCACGCCCGCCCCCAAAATGCAGCTCCCCAGTCCCCTCGTCATCCCCAAAGGCCTACTCCCGCAGAGCCTCTTGCAGGAGTCCAGGGACTGCGGGCTCAGGTGGTGCCGCCCAAGCTGACCACCTGGGGGCGGCGGAACCTCCACACCTCTGGGCGGACTCGGGGAGCACGGCGAGCTTTCCCCGGGCACCGCCCCGGTTACCAGGGGGCGCGGCCTCTGGCGGGGCGGGAGGGAGGAGGCCCCTCGCGGCCTCGGAAGCCGGGGAGCGAACCGGGGCTGCCCCCTACGCGTCCCGGTCCCGCGTCCCGGCTCCCGCGGCCAGCCCCGCGCGCGGATCTCCGGCGGCGGCCGCGGAGGCTGCAGGAGTTGGCGCCGCCCCGGCGGACAGCCCGTGACGTCGCGGCCGGCCCGGCCCCGCCCCCGCCGCGCCCCCGTCCGCGCAGTGCTCCGGGGGCGGGGCTGCAGGGGCCGACGGGGGCGGGGCTGCAGGGGCCGGCTGTGCCCCGGCTGCCCGGCCCGCCCTCCTACCTGAGGGCCGGGGCCACCCCCGCGGCGCGCATGGGGCATGGAGGCGGCGGCCGGCGCGGGCCGCGGGGCGCCCCCTGGGCCCCCGAGAGCCGCCGCCGTCCCGTGCTTCGGCATATCGGTGGACCAGGACGACATCCTCCCGGGCGCCCTACGCCTCATCCGGGAGCTGCGGCCGCGCTGGAAGCCCGAACGAGTCCTGACCAAGGTAAGCCGAGCGCGCGGGCGGCCAGGGAGGCGGCCCCGCGGGGCTGCAGCTGGGCTGCGCGCGTCTGGCTGGGCATCCCTTCGGGTGTGGGTCTCAGAGGTGCGCGCCGCTGCTGCACGCGAGGGGGTGCGCCGGCGGCGTGCCTCGGTCCTTCTTTCTCTGTCTCGGTCCCTGAGCACAGCCAGGCTCCCTGCTCTCTTCTCGGCCCTGCACACGCACCCCTCCTCTCGGGCCCGGGAGCGCCGGGAGGGCCACCTGCCCACTGTCAGCGCGCCGCGCGTGCGGGCCCCACCCCCCGGGCGCTGTGCGCGCGTGCCCCCCGCTGCCCAGAAGCCGGTGCCCACCCGGCTCTGAAAGCTGCGGAGGCAGGAACTTTTAAGGGCGCCCCCCACACTGTCACGCACGCATCAGTGCTCCCGTTGCAGCCTAGAGTGGGAGCAAAGTCTCCGGGCTCTGAGCTGCTCCTGCTGGTCCTGGAGCCACCCTGTGGAACTCGAGCTAGCCCCCAGCCCCGCGCCGGGTGGAGAGCCTCTCTACTGCCTTCAACTCTGGCTCAGCACCACCTACACAGGACCCCTCCCTGCTCCGCTGGGCGCAGGCATAGGGACACAGACGCGAGCAGAGTCTCTCCCTGAGCAGCCTCAGGCTGACTCCCTAGCAGACCTCGGCAGAGGCTCCTCAGCTGCCCCAGCCCCTCCAGGAGCCTCCTGTGGGGGCTGCTGCCTGGAGTGGGCACCTGCGGCTTGTGCTGGAGCAGCAGGGTCTCCACACTGGTGGGGCTGCTGGTGGAGAAAGGGAGGTTCAGGACCTGGGAAGGCTTACAGACCCTTTCGGGAGACGGGGAGTGAGTAACCTTTTCACAGTAAAAGAGGGCCTTGGTGTAAAACTGTCAGACCATCAAGCAGGCCTGAGGTTAATTCCAGCACTGAGCTAACTTGCTGCCTTCCAGTCCCTCCACTCTCTGCGCCTCAGTTCCCCCACCTTTTCTTGCTTCGGTTGTCCCTTAAGGCCCCTTCCTGCCCTTTCACTCTGTATCCCATAAGCTCCATGGTTCACTCCTCCTTGTCACCCTGCTCGGAGAACCTGCTCTCCCAGCGCAGGATCTTCTGTCTGCCTCTCCTGGCCATAAGGAGCTGTGACCACCTGGCCCTAGGGTGGGTGTCAATCTCAGTACCCTCCTGTATCTCTGCCGCTGGGTGGGGTAAGAGGGATGGCAAGGGGCCCTCTGCCTGGTAGGCAGAGAGATGAGAGGCCACTTAGGTCAGGCCGTACCTGTCCTAGGCAACCCCCCGCCCCCTCTGTGGCACTCTGGTCCATGGATGTTTCTTTTAGGGCCTGGTGGGACCTGGGGGTAGGGGGTGGGGGGGGCAGGCTTCTACCCACCAAGTGGTGTGAAAATTATTCAGCGGCCAAATCCCATTCCCCAGAGGGAGAACCAGGAGAAGTGTGCCTGGGCTGAGCCCAAGCTCCTGCTTCCTGACCTCTGGTCTGTCTCAAGCGTTGGGAAAGGGTGGAGGGTTAGGAGCAGTGCCGAGCTCTTCTCTCAGTGAGAGGGTTGAAGGATGCAGGTGCTGCGTGATTGTGCTCAGCATTCAAACCAGCAACACGTGCTGGAGCTGGGGCCGCACAGGACGCCTCGCCCGCCCCACACGTCCCTGCGCCGCCCTCTCCCCTGTGCCAGCGCTTCACTGACGGCATCACCAACAAGCTGGTGGCCTGCTACGTGGAGGAGGACATGCGGGACTGTGTGCTGGTCCGAGTCTACGGGGAGCGGACGGAGCTGCTGGTGGACCGTGAGAGTGAGGTCCGGAACTTCCAGCTGCTGCGGGCTCACGGCTGTGCCCCGAAACTCTACTGCACCTTCCAGAACGGTCTGTGCTATGAGTACATGAGGGGCGTGGCCCTGGGGCCAGAGCACATCCGTGAGCCCCGGCTCTTCAGGTAAGGAGGGCACCCGGGGTACCGTTTATCTCCAGGATTCCGCAGGCCTTGGGCTTTGAAGTCATTGGCCTGCTTCCCTGGTGGAGTGGAGTCCGTGAAAGAGTCTTAAGATCTATGAAATCCTTGAAATTCCATGGAAAGTGTGTGTGTGCTTATATGCCTTGCTCTGTGGAGAGCAGCTGTCGTTTTGTCTCGATATTCAGTGAGGTCTGCTAAAAGGATGTGTTCTTGGGGAGGCAAGTGAGAATTTTGCTAAACATGAAACCAAAGGGGGATCTGCTTCCTGGCCCATGCCTCAGTCCTCCGCCCACCCCACATCTGACCTGGAAACATCTTGTAGCCTTGGAAGTGAAATCTGAGCCAAATCCCCAGAGCGCTCAAGGTTTCCTGCTTCTCCGCTCCTGCCAAGAGCCCAGGGACTCCTGGAGAATGGGCCTTCCCCGGACTGAGCATGGCCGTACCCACCCAGTTGGTGCCAGCCCTCTCCCCGTACGAGCTCTGTCTATCCTTCCGGACAAGGTGGGAGCCCAGGTTTGGGGGACTGCTGAGGCTTCCTTCCAGAGACTCCTAAGGACCTAGACCTCTTAGGGATCACCTCCTATTAAATGCCTGGATGTGTAGGACCAAGGAACTAGACTTAACCGGTGGATGCCTCTGTTGGGGGTCTGGCAGGGGGAGAATAAAAGAAGAGCCGTCTGATGCTCTCTTCTTACCATGCTGGGCAGGGAGGTTGGGCAGGATCCTCCTTCCTGCCATGCCCACGGGCAGGGCACTCAGACCACAGTGAGGCTTGAGGCAGGCCGAAATTTACCGAGACGCCCCTGACAGCAGCACAGAGGTCTGCTTGAGATCCGTGGGGCCTGTGCTGCCCCACCTAAGGGGAGGAAGCTTTTCAGCTCTCGAGGGAAACAGGAAAGCCCGCTCAGGGAGCAGACCAAGAAGCATCTTTGCTCTGTCATCTGCTACGCAGCTAACCCCAAGTTGGTTAGTGCCCCTGCCCTAAGTGCAGCGAAGCCCTAGCAGGCGCTCTGGGGACTTGGAAGAAGGAACTCTGAGAGCACTGCCTTTCGGGCTGGTTGGGCCCCAGGATATTCACGTGCAGTTGTGTGTGGGGGGGGGGGGGGGCGGCGGGGTGAGGATGGAATGTGCACCCTGTGAGAGGGTCTTCTCAGGCTGCAGGTGACGGGTCCATACACACCCGGCTGGAGATGTGAGGTCAGAGTGGGCTGAGGCGGGGCAGAGCCCATCCCGACTCCTCCCACAGTCCCCCCAGCTCCCCCTCAGCCTTGTGCCAAGAAGCTCACAGATCAGCGGGTCCTCCCCACCCCTGTTCTCCCATGGATGCTGCCCGGCATCCTCCCGTGGAAACAGTTACCACTGTCAGGAATACTGCAGATGGATTTAGGTTTGATAAGAATTTTACACTTGGGAGAGAGTCAGAACTTGGGATAGAGGCAGGAAGCAGATGCTTCCTTGATGATTCCCAGGACAGACCACTGTCCTTCAGGCAAAGGTGGATCTCTGGGGGAAAGGCAGGGGAGAGCCCCAGGAGCTACCTCCCCAGGTTTCCCTGAACCTCACCTCCCAACCTCCGTGTGATGCTTTCATGCTCTGCAGCATAAAAATGCTGTGTTGGGGTTACTTCCTCTGCTATTCCAGACAACAACCCTGTTGATACTCAAGGAAACACTCTGTTTAGGCTCTTTGCTTTGGAATTTTCCCTCGAGTAGGGGAGCCCCGGGTTTCAGGTCTGTGTCCCCGCCTCGCCCAAGCTCTGGCAGGCTCACTCCTGCCCTAGGGCCTCTCACCCCTGAGAAGACAGCCTTCCTCTCTCACCCACTTGGCTGCTACCATGCCTCCTGCCCCTCCACCCTTTAAAGGTGGAGGCTTTAGGGGGCTTCTAGGGGGGTCCCTAGTCTGCCCGGCTCTCCTGGTGGGTGATGGCTGCTCCTTCCCAGGACCTGCCGAGTGGAGGGGTTGTTCCTAGAACAACCTAATAACAAGGTTTCAACAGCCTATGCCCTTGTCTTTCCCAGTGATTATTATTTGAGCAGCAGGCAAGGGCGAAGGAAGCTTGCACGTTGGAGGCTTGCCGCTGGGTGGGGGTGGGGCCGCAGGAGGGGAGCTGGCAGGGGGTGGGGGAGCCCGCGGGGGCGTGGGCCTCAGGCGCCGGGCTCCTTATCAGGGCCGTCCCTCTCTGAGCGCCCGTCCTCTGTCCACTCCGCCCCCCTCTCCCAGCAGCCTCCCCAGCTCTGCTTTCTCCCATCCCACCACCCCCTGCCTCCCTCCCGGGACCTTGGATAATGTCCACGGGAGAACTTGAAAATAGAACGCTGGTTTGTTTTGCGTCCTTGGCACCCAGCCGCCAGCATCGCCTCCTTGCTCCAGAGGAAGGGGCTGCCCAGAGCCAGTCTGCTTCCCTCCCCACCTTGGCCAGGCTGATAAGAGACTCACATTGCTCCTCTGCCTGGCATCACCACCCCCGATTCCTTGGGGCCCGGCATTTACCTCACTCTGATGGCGTGGGTCTGAGTCCAGATGGGGCGGGGCGGGGCGGTGGGAGGGGTTCCGCTCCCATGCCCAGGTGACCCCTCTCTGCTCAGGGTTTGCCGTGGTTACTCAACCTTGTGGTGGGGCAAGGTCCCTGACCTGTGGCAACAGCCCACTGCTTTGCCCTTTTGCTTCCTGATGCTGTCCCAGCTCTGTTCGGGAAGGGGAGCTGCTGGGCTGAAGGCCTTATGGTTTTCACGTCCTGAAGGTCCTGAGACCTTCTTTCTGCGGGCCTGAGGGCTCCTGACTTGTGATAGTCCCACACTGGCCCCAGTCTCAGACTCTGCTCTCCCTGTTTTCTGCTGCAGGCTGATCGCCTTAGAAATGGCCAAGATTCACACCATCCATGCCAACGGCAGCCTGCCTAAGCCCACCCTCTGGCACAAGATGCACAATTACTTCACCCTCGTGAAGAACGAGATTAACCCCAGGTACAAGGATCTCAGAGAGCCTGAGGCTTCGGCTGCCCCTACGCCTTAGCACGGCCCCTGGCCCAGCCTGCCCAACAGAAGGTTTAGCTTCAGTACTGATTCCCGGGCCTCTCTCTCCACGCAGAGTTCAGTCAGTTTGTGAAATCTCAGGAACTTGTTCCCACAGTTTTGTCCTTACATGCTTATTTCTCCTTCATTTTTTGGTTAGGGCAGGTACTAGGGTTGAGGACAACATTTCCCTGTTTCACTTGCAGGATACTGAGCTCAGAGATGAGGCTTTTCCTGGGGTCCCAGGGCTCTTATTTCTGCAGGGCCCTTTCTCCCTGAGCTGGCTCCGAGCCCTGGGAAGGGATGGCCTGGCCCTCTTGAGAACAGTGTGGGGCTCAGCTCACCAGCTGACAAGCCCTGGGGATGTCTACTTGCCCGGACGCCTCTTGCCCCCACAGGGCTCCGGGGCCCCGGTCCCCCGCCTTGTTCAAACTGACAGCTGCTGCTACCTTACTGCTCTCCCCAGGGAGGGTGTGCTCTGGCCCTCCTGACATTGCCTTTCCCCGGGTAAGATGCAATTACCTGGGCCTTTTCTTATGCTCTCTGGCCAGCAACCTGAGATCCTTCTAGCCTTCAGATACCTGACTCTCCAGCCTACTTGAGTGCTGAGAAAAGGGTGGAGAAAAGACTGAAGTTACCCCTGCCGCCCCAAAAGGCCATAGTGTGTCTCCGATCTCTCCACGTTCCCCACTGGGCTTGAGTGTCACTCTTTTCCAAATGTTCATGGGAGCAGGGTACAAGAGAGGTCTGATGGAAGGGCGTCTTGTCCCCCTCTAAGATAAGACAGTAATTAACCATCGCGAGGATGCGTCCCTGTCACACGCATCACTCATGACTTTATCGGGATCCTCCCTCCCACTGATTAGCAAGCACCACTTAGGGACTGTTTGTCTCGGCCGGCCGGTGTTGAGACCTTTCATGTCAATGTGTCTGGGACAAGGACTGCCTTCCCCCAGGAAGGGACTAGGACTGGAACCAGGACTAGGACTTATTCTAGGACTTGAACTGCACACGGAGAACAAGACCCTCTGATCAGCCAGCCTCCCACTTTCACTTGACAGATGATGAAACCGAGGCCCAGAGGAGAGATGGGCTTGCCCACCTGATCAATGGCAGTTCAAGGACTGGAGTCCAGGCTCCATGCTCAGGCATCACTCTTGTTCCTGCAGCTTCTTTTGACTGTACTATTACTGTGTAATCTTAAGAGGGTGACCTTGTTGAGAGGGGCGTGCTCTTTGAAGAAGAGCTGGCTGACTTCCTTTTCTCTCATCACACCTTTGACCTTGGGCAAATCAAGCTGCTCAAGTTGAGCCTCTTGAGGGCATGGATCCTGCCCTAAGCTGTCTAACCTGCCACAAGCAGGACAGCGATGAGCAATCACTTGGATGAGACGAAGCACTTGAGTTCCCGTCATGGCCTAATAACCCTGATTTAGGGTTCATCTCACAAACACTGATTGGACTTTAAAACAATAAAACAATAAAAATACTTGAGGGTGAAGTGGCCCTGCCCTCAAGGAGCTTAGAAGGCATCCGTGCAAATAGGACCCGCCTGTGCAGGTCACAGGTCATGTGCGGTGTATGCATGAGAGGGGGCACCAGGAAACGTCGTCTCGGCAGACTCAGATGGCAGAGATGAGAAGGGAGGCCTCCGGCTGGAGGAGAGGCTTGCTTATGGATGATGAGTGGATGAGGTGGCTGGAGCCAGTCTTAGGAGGGCAGCTTGTGGGAGATGGGACTGCAGAGGGGAGTTGGAGCTAGATTGTGAGGGGCCTTCATGGCAGGTAAAGGAGCCCAGATTAATTAATTTAGCAGGCAGTGGAGAGTAGCTGTGAAGGTGTTAGACACCTTCACCTTGTAAGGAGCTCATTGTAAAGGGCAGACTTGGGTGGGAGCTGGGGACTTTGAGGCAGGGAGGCCAGCAGGGGGAGTGTCATAATCTGATGGGCAACATCTAAGTCTAGGGTCCCTAAACGGGAGCATGAGGTCCCCCTGGGTGCTTGCCACGGGCAGATTCCGAGCCTAACCCTGGAGGTCGATTGGGAGGTCTTACATGAGACCTTAGGAATCTGCATGTTGACAGGCTCCCCAGGTGATCTGGGCGCAGCATCAGGGAGCCGCATTCCGAGGAACATTGCTGTGTCAGCTTCCCGGGGAGATGGAGGACAGGGGGACGAGGGAGAGGCCTGGCGGGATGGGCGTGTGGCCTGATGCTGGGTGGGGCCCTGGAGGGGCCCAGCATAGCGGGGACATGGGCTGATCACTGCTCAGGTGCATCACGAGGAGGTGTGCACGGGTTGACTGTATGTACGTGTGAACACTTAGAAAGTCCTTTCTCCAGGGAGACGGTGCCCCCCCCCACCAGTGCACCTGGATCCGAGAGCCAGGTGGACACGCCCAGGTTTCCCTGAGGGGCCCCCAGCCACTTCACCCATTCCCGCTGCCTCCGAGGGACGGAGGAGTCGAGGAGCTGCCGGCTTGGGTGTGGGAGTTTCTGTGACGCAGCAGTGGTTACTGCTCTGCCATCCGCTCAGCCTTGAGAGATGTCAGGGCTGAAGGCAGCAAAGCTGGCGATGTTTCCGGAGCTCAGGGGCGGGAAGCAGGGCAGCCCAAGGAGGAGGAGGAAGGTCTGGATTGTTCCCACGTATAAGGAGCAGCAGGGCCTTGGGGTGGCTAGCGTAGGGGTCAGACAGGGGTCAGGACCTGGGCGGCAGGCATCTTGGATGGCAGAGACGCTAAGACCTGGGCAAACCAAAGGAAGCCTCCTAATTCTTATCTTTGGGTGGTCAGTTCAAGGGGGGAGGCGGGAAGGAATCTTGAAAGAAAAGGGAGCCTCTTAAGAAAAGCCAAGATGTGGACACAGAGACATTCCTGTGAGTGGGGGGCGGCCTCCCCCACCCGGCCCCTAACAGACCCGCAGGCTCCGAGTGGGCGGTGCAGAGCCTCCGAGGGGCACTGACACCCCTTCAGGGCAGAGGCTCAGCTTGGGTTTGGGTTCTTGGACACGCCAAGGACTGCTCTCCTTAGGTGAGGGAGTAGAGTGTCCAGGTGTGTAAGGTTCTGGAGGTGGGAGGAAGCCTCTGCCCTGAGGCTCTGTTTCCCCCTGGAGCTGGACTGGAGGCCTCAGATTCTCTTTAGCTTCGACCCTCTCAAAGCCTGGGGGAAGCCTCCTGCTTGTCCTCTTACAGGGCCGTGTGAAGCTGCCTCAGCCTCTGAATCCTCTACCCTGCGTTCTGGCTTCTGGGCTGGGTGAGGGCCAGTGGGGCATCCTGCAGGAGAGTCAACGAGGACACATCTCCTTCTCAGCCTCCTGCACGTATCCCCACTGCCCTGGACAAGAAAGCAAATAGGAGTCACGTGAATGGAGATAAAACCCCAGAACCACCAATGGGTGGAGGGGAGGAGGCTAGGTGTTTAAGGGCTCCGCTAACTATTTGGTTTTTCAGTGTACACAGACCTGTGTGCTTCGCAGGACCAAAGTTCAGGGCATTGGCGCACAGAATACCCTCATCAGCTTCCCCATGGCCTCTGAGAGCATCGTTGACTGACCCGTTCGTTCATTCATGGGCATGTGCCTTTAGCAGAAGTGCTTCCCGTGGTCCACAGGGTCGGGTGGGCTGAGGGACAGCTGGGTCGTGCATCCATAGATACGCATCTTTGCTCCTGCTCTGGACTTGCCCTCACACACACAGGCGGCCGGGGCGGGGAGACACACCCACAGTTCAAGGGGGAGGTGAGTTGCTGAGGCGCAAGAGAAGTGTTTTTCTATCGAAAGGCCCTGGTATTCCCTTGGCCTTGTAGACGCGGGGCTAAGAAGCTTTTTTTTTTTTTTGGCTTTCTTGTGTGGACCCAAGTGGTCTCTCTGTGCAATGGGAAGCTAGTCAAAATAGTCTCAGATCCTTTTCGACCATGTCACCAGCTGCCAGGGCAGGAGGGAGACACACCCGGACATCCCTCTGCCTGCTCAAGAGGGCCCCAGTGCTCCAGTCACTTCCAGGGCTCCGTCCCTCGCCCACTGGAGGAGTTCTGGGCTCTTCTTTAAGAGAGCTCCATCTCCCCTTTAGAACTGCTCTGAGAAGGTCTATTTGCATCCCTCCCCTGCCGCCCTTCTCCTTTCTGGGATAACTGAGTTTGGACGCTCATTCTCTCCTCCCTGACGCCTCTTGAGCCTCCATCCTATCTCCTGCTCCCTTTCATGAAGAAGCAGGACGCTGTTCAGTGAGGGACTTCTGTGCTTTGCAAAGTGCTTCCGTGCCCTTGTGTTAAGCAGCTTCTCAGAGTAACCACAGGAAGTCAGAAGGACAGGAAAACGTTAGTGTCCTTTTACATGCGACCAAAGCGAGGGCTTGAAAGGCCGGCCGTTTGTCCAGGGTCCCTGTGCGGTGAGGGCGGTGACGCGGCCGGGGCCTGGGCCGGGGCGTCTGAGCCTCCCGCCCGCTCTCAGCCCCTCACCGGCCGCCTTGCCGCCGCGCAGCCTGTCCGCGGACGTCCCTGAGGTCGGCGTGCTGGAGCAGGAGCTGGCCTGGCTGAAGGAGCACCTGCCTCCGCTGGACTCCCCGGTGGTGTTTTGTCACAACGACCTGCTCTGCAAAAACATCATCTACGACAGCAGCAAAGGTACCGCGGCCCGGCCCGGGGGGAGCAGGCCTCCGGCGGCCCTGTCAGCAGCTTCGGGGTGTCACTCCTCAGGCTGGTGCTGGGCAAGCGAAGGGAGACCGTCTTGTGTAGGTCTCAAGTTGATCTGTAGGAGAGAAGTGAAAAAGAAACAAATTCCTGGCTAGAAAAACTTTACCACAAAAGAACTCAAAATTATGGTTTGTGGAGCCATTCTCCCTGACAGTGAGGACATCCTGGCTACCCTGAGCCTTCACAGAGAGCGACCTCCCTGAGTTCCTGACCAGCTTCACCCCCACAGAGGCCCTAGCCTTATTTTCTGGTCCTCAGCCAAGGGCCCAGCTGGGTGAGGGGGGCAGCTGGAGCTGGGCAAATGGACAGACGGAAGGAAGCAGCTTGGAAGATGGCCACTGAGATGCTGGGTTAGGCTGGGTTGCTGCAGAGTCCCCGGGAGTCGGCGGGGGCACTCCTGAGGCTGTGAGAGCCTGACCAAGCCCTGTGTCCAACTCTGGGGCCAACCCTCCCTGCCTCTCCTCTGCCTCACAGGTCATGTGCGGTTCATCGACTATGAATATGCTGGCTACAACTACCAAGCTTTTGACATTGGCAACCATTTCAATGAGTTTGCAGGTGAGAAGGGTGTTACTGTTTGGCCTGTGTCCAAGACACCCTCCTTGTGATGGGGGGCCAGGTCCAGGGGAACTGGGGGAGGGGGTTCGGTTTATGAGGAAGGGAGGCTGGACACACCTGTCCTCAAGATATCACAGCTCAGCAGAGGGGTGGGCACAGCCTGCTTGAGGAAGCCTCAGGTCTCAAGGTGGGGTGGGGAGTGGGTGGACCCATATACACAGTGTGAGCCCCTGCTAGCCCATGTGGTACACATTCAGAAAACATGCCCTCTGTGGGATCCCTGAAGACACTCAGCTTGACAGGTAAGATAGAAAGAGATCCCTTCCTCTGGGCAGACACAGCCCACCCGCTGCTCCAGCGTAGCTTGATGTCAGCTGCCACTTACCCCCGTCTGGGCTGCTTTTGGCCCAGTACATCCCATGTAAATGGGGTCCCTGCAGGCAGAGAAAGGGCAGAACAAGCAGCAAGTAGCTATTGGCCTGGTGGCCTGATGAGATTAATTGTGGTGGATACTAGTTCAAAGTGTGTGCCCCACAACTTGACTCCCCAAGTTCACTTTTTGGCTTTGTTGCTGACTAGCTGTATGATCCTTGGGGCAAGTTCCTTACATTTTCTGTGCCTCTGTAAGATGGAGAAGATAGCACCTACTTCATAGTTTTGATACGTGATACACACACCAGCATGGCACACACGAAGCCCCAAGCCTGCTGGCATCATTGTTCAAGGGAGGCTGGAGCACCTTGGAAGAGATTGGGTGAGGGGTTTGTCCTGGTATAGGCTGGCCTTCCATAAAGGCAGCTTCATACAATGGAATCATTTGTGTAGAGGAAGCAGGGCAGGTTTTTCCAGCTTGAGGGCTTAATTGTTAAACAATTTGATGGGGCTAAAGAGGCAACTGGTGGTTGAAGGTGGGCACCGGGGTGGGAGGGACATCCGCAGGCCGGCAGTGTGGGGTGCCCGGGGGATGTAACCAGTCCCCGTGGCTTTGGAGAGGGAAGGCACCCGCCCCAGCCTCAGGCACGCCCCAGCCAGCCGGGCCAACTCTTCCCCTTCTGGGATCCCAGGTGACTAGGGCTGTCAAGCTCTGTACCTGAGGGTATGACTCCCCGGGGTGGCCACCAGCGGCACCCAGAAACCCACGGGGTGGTGGGGCCTCAGCTGTGCAGAGCAGCTGAGCTGTGGGGTGTGGCCTGGAGCAGAGGCTGGCACCGCTGAGCACTGGGGCTGGGATTGCTCGGTTGCCAGACGCACCGGCCTTTCCGAAGTGGCTAACTGTCAAGCATCTTAAGTCCTTCTCACCCACCACACAGAGCAGAGTCCAGCTGGACTTTCTCCAAGGGGCCAAGGTCGTATCCTGCTTCCAAGTTGAGAATGAAGGCCAGGAACTTTGGATGGGGGGATGGGAAGGGCAGTGGAAGAGAGAGGCACCTCCTGGGTTCCCAGGAGCAGGGAGACCCTGATAGGAAGGGGAGCTAAGAACCAGTCTCTAACTGGCTGTGTGACCTTGAACAACTGTCTTCTCTCTGGGCCTCCAAGTGTAGCTCCGTGCCAGCAGCTTCTTTTCCAGCTGTATTCTTGTGTTTCTCCAGGAACATAGGGAAGCTTGGGAAAGACAGAGAGGAAAGAGAGGGAGGAAGAGGCAAGGGAAGGTGGCCCAGGCCTGGTCCCATCTAACAAATCGCTTCTTCCTGTGCCAGCTCTGAGCCAGTCTCTCTGCCACCGTGCCCGGGATGTGGCTCGTGTGTATCGGGCTGGTGGCTTGAGGACTCAAGAAAGGGCAGGACTAGAAGGCATTGAGGCCACTTAGCTCAGGGCTTCCAAGCATAGCTGTGTCCAAATCATCTGGAGAGTTGGACAGGGTGGGGTGCCTGGCAGTCTGTATCTTTGCCAAGCACTCCAGGTGATGTTTTAAGGTAAGTTCAACACTGGTTACCTAAAAAGGAAGCAGTGTTTGAGATATTAATATATTGCATCCAGGCCGCTGAAAAGAAAGGGCTTGTTCAAAGTTAACTGGAGGCTGGCATCAGATCGACAACTAGACTCCTGATTCGGGGCTTTGACCCACTGCCTCCTGTGTGCTGTGGTTTTGTGTAGGGTTCAGTGGTGCAGTGGTGCTGTCTTAGGGGAACCTCCGTCACTTGCAGGACAGTGCCTTGCCCCTCAACAAGTCTGCCTCCCTCTGTTGTTTCCTCCAGCTTAGCTGAAAGCAGTGCCCTCAGCTGGGATGCGGGTCAGCTCTCCATACGTTAGAGCTTGGTGGTCAAAGAAGCTGGTTTCTTTGGCACAGCCCCCCAGGGCAAAGGAGATGGTGGTTTGAGGGCATCGGGGAGCACCTGCTGAGCTGGAGGAGCCCCCCCAGGTGGGCCCGGCTCCCAGCAGCTTCTGAGCGGCCGCGTCCCCCCAGGTGTGAACGAGGTCGATTACTCGAGGTACCCAGCGCGGGAGACCCAGCTGCAGTGGCTGCGCTGCTACCTGCAGGCCCAGAAGGGGACGGCTGTGACCCCCAGGGAGGTGGAGAGGCTCTACGTGCAAGTCAACAAGTTTGCTCTGGTGAGTGCTGGCGGCTAGAAGGGGGCAGGGAGGGAGGAGCTGGCAGGAGGACTCACCCCCAGCTCCCATCCCCTCACAGCCCTGTGGTCGGAGGAAGCAGAGCCCAGGGTCAGGGCTGAGGTCCGGGGAGTCCCAGCCTTGAGGCGGAGTCTGGGAAGAGCCATCTTGGACTTCTTAATACTAAGATGCCCTCTTCTCTGCTTTCCTCCCATTTCATCAAGTCCAGGTTCTCTCTCCTTCCTGGAGAACTATTTCCAAGAAGATCCCCACTTCCTGTTTTAGCAATTCTCTCATTTGGACAAGTTCTTTCCACTGTCTAACCTTAACCTTTCATGCTACAGTTAAATGCATCCTTTGTTTTGTTTTGTTTTAGCCTTTGGAAAAAGTAGAGAATGTCAGTTCTAAAAACTCCTTGTTGACTGTTCCCACTGACTTGCTCAGAACTCTGTGTCAGCCTTTCCCATCAGGCTCTTTCTTCTGAAATTACTATGCTGTCAGTTCTCAGTTTTGAGCGCTGTTTATCCAAGGTACATGCTTCATGCCTGGTCTTCACTGATATGTGCCAAGGGGATTGCTAGCTAGTCTTTCTGATGTCAGTCATGCATAAGCAAGAAGACAAATCAGCTGATGTGAATTTCACAATGCATTATAGAGCTTAAATAAAATCTTTAATCACATGTAACTTGGAATTGCCTATTCTATTTTCCTTATTGGTATAAGACTGATTATCATCAGGTTCTTCCTTCTCTTTAAAAATATTTATTTTATTGACGCATAGTTGATTTACAACGTTACGTTAATTTCTGCTCTACAACCAAGTGATTCTTTTTAAGGTTCTTTGCCCATGCCTTCCTTTAGCTAAATTTTTAGTAACCATTCCTACTTGCTAATTGATCTCTGCCCCTTCTAAGTCACAACAAGGGAGGAAAATGGGAGAGGTACTGCAGAGCCGACCGCAGAGCGGGCCGGCCTTGGGGTGGAGAGGGAGCTCCGCAGGAGTGGGGCCTGGCCTGGGTCGCCGGGCAGCAGGGACCCCGCGCCCTGGCTTCTGGCGCCTGGGGCGGCCTGGGCGGCAGATGGGCCCCAGGTCAGTGGCCTGGCCCCTGTCTGGGCTTGTTTTCTCACCTTGCCCCCCTCATGACAGGAGCGAGGGCAGTTTAGAGGCCTTCCCGTGACTCACTCTCTGATGCCCTTGTGGCCGGGGTACTGTGGACGAGGTGCCAGCACCCCCACTAGCAGGCCGGCCTGAGCTCTGCCTGCAGGATTTCTCTTCCTAGGGGTTTTCCTGGGTAGCTGGGAGGCCAGGGCTGGAGTTCAGGTCCAGCTTAAGCTGGGGAACAAGCTGAAGGTCTGCGTAAGCCTGAGGGCAGAGAGAACCTAGCCTGCTTGCCTTCCGTAGCAGGAGTGGAGGCCCCGAGTGCCATGCAGTGACCCCCACCCATGTGTTTCTGCCAGCGTCCTAGTTCTGTGTGTCTTTCACAATGACCGTGTCCTTCCAGCTGTCAGGCTCACCACACTGATTTTCTGACCTGTTTTCAGGCGTCTCACTTCCTCTGGGCACTCTGGGCCCTCATCCAGAACCAGTTCTCCACCATCGACTTTGATTTCCTCAGGTGAGTGCACGGAGCAAGCTGGGAGTCATGCGGGGGTGGGGGGGGAGCGGGGTGGAGGGGAGGAAGAGCCTTGAGCCCAGGGCATGGGGGTGAAGGACACCCCGAATAGGCTGCCCAGGATGCATGCCTCTGTGCTGTTAACTGCCCACGTCCCTGCCAGCCCACACAAGGACGGAGTACATGGGCCCAGGAACCCTCTCTAAGGGGGTCAGAAGCCTCACCCCGCCTCCTGCCGAGCTGCTTCCTCCTCCTCTGTTGTAGCCTGCAGTCTGCTCCACTGGCTGGCTCTTCCCTACACAGCCTGGCGCTGATGGGAATTGCTGGAAACTAGTGTAAAGATCCCCCACTCCAGTGCTCTTGCCTGGAAAATCCCACGGACGGAGGAGCCTGGTGGGCTGCAGTCCATGGGGTTGCTAAGAGTCGGACACGACTGAGCGACTTCCCTTTCACTTTTCACTTTCATGCACTGGAGAAGGAAATGGCAACCCACTCCAGTGTTCTTGCCTGGAGAATCCCAGGGATGGGGCAGTCTGGTGGGCTTCCATCTGTGGGGTCGCACAGAGTCGGACACGACTGAGGCGACTTAGCTGCAGCAGCAGTGTAAAGATCATGAGTGCGACCCTCATTTAATGGCAGAAGGGACAGCTGTCCAGAGGGTGGATGGCTGGAGAAGCTGCTCTGTGCCTGGTGCTGACCACACTGCCTCTGTGCACGGGCCCCGGGCCCAAGTGCCCCTTTACAGGCCCCTAGTGACCCATCGGGGGGCTGTACTGAGAGTGTAGATGAGTACTGCCCACTCAGGTGGCCCTGTCCCGTGAGACGTGGCCCCGAAGGACCAGGAATCATTTTGCCTTCCATCCTGGTCCACTCTCTGTCTTTATCCTCCCTACCCACCCTCAGCTGAAAAGGAATCACAATGCGGGCTTCAAAGTGTTCACAAAAATTGGAAAAATGCAAGTCAAACCCCCAGTTACCCCCAACTTACACCCACTAGGATGGCTGCTTTTAAATACACAGAAAACAGTGCTCACTTCGGCAGCACATATACTAAAATTGGAACGATACAGAGAAGATTAGCATGGCCCCTGCGCAAGGATGACACGCAAATTCGTGAAGCATTCCATATTTTTGAGGAAGAGGGGCACGGCTGGGCCGGGGAGGACCTGACCCTACTCCCCTGCCCCTGGATAGTTTATTATTATTATTTTGGGGTCTCTTTTGTAAATTAAATATAAAACAACTGAAAAAAAAATAAGTACACAGAAAACAACACTTGTTGGTGAGGATGTGGAGGCACAGAAACCCTGGGCTCTGCTGTTGGGAAAGTGAAATGGTATAACGTCTGTGGGGAAGAATACGGTCCTTCTTCCAAGAGTGAACATAGAATTACTGTATGATCCAGCAGTCTTACTGCTGGGTCTGTATAGTCAAAAGAGTTGAAAGCAGGGTCTCAAACAGATATTTGCAGAACCATGTTCATAGTAGCATTATTCACAATAGCCAGGAGGTGAAAGCAACGCCAAGGGTCCATTGATGGGTGAATGGATAAACAAAATGTGGTCTATACACACAGGGAATGTTATTCTACCTCCAAAGAGGAAGGAAATTATGTCACATAATACAACACAGATGAACCTTAGGAACATTGTGCTAAGTGAAATAAGCCAGTCACAAGAAGATGAATGCTGTATGATCCCACTTAGATGTGGGAGCTAAAGTAGTCAAATCTGTAGGGACGGAAGTAGAACGGTGGGTGCTGGGGGCTGGGCTCTTGCTGTGTCGGGAGAGTCCAGGTTTACAAAACGAAAAGTCCTGGAGATCTGTTGCTCAACAAGGTGAACTTAGTGATCACTGAGCTGTAAAGAATCAACAAACACACACGTCTGGGGAGAAGTTGCTCCAGTCTGATCTAAGAAGAAAAGTAAAAACTATAGTTGAAGTCAAAACAAATGAACAAAAAACCCCAGCCTGGGCTGGGGTCCATTTGTCCAGATCTAGATGGGCTGAGCTGGTGAGAAATTTTCTTCATGGTGTGAATGCCCCCGACAGGGCTCACCTGGCTTCCCTTCTCACCCCGTTTCCCCTCCTGTGTTCTGGCAGGTATGCAGTGATCCGATTCAACCAGTATTTCAAGGTGAAGCCTCAGGTGTCGGCCCTGGAGATGCCAAAGTGACCGCCCTTCCCAGCCCTCCCCCGTCTGCACGGCCAGACCTTCTTGTTCTCCAGGGCCCGGCTCTGCTCTGGGGTCTGCACCTTGGACAAGGTGGTCAAGGGGCCAGGGGGGTGTCCCTGAAGAGTGCTCTGCCCCTGTTCCCAGCCCTGAGAGATGCTTCTGGTGGCCGTTTTTGTTTGGAGGGCTGATAGAGCCCAGCTCTGGGGGTCCTCTCCGTCTTGCCAGACTTGGTGACGGGGAGTGCCTGAAGCCAGGTGTGACTGGGACCGCAGCCGCCCTGGGAGGCCCAGCCTTCCCATCCCGGCCATCCTGAGTCTGGGCTGGGACTCAACCGCCCTAGGAGGCCCAGCCTTCCCATCCCGGCCATCCTGAGTCTGGGCTCATACCTCAACCACCCTTGGAGGCCCACCCTTCCCATCCCAGCCATCCTGAGTCTGGGCTGGGACTCAACCGCCCTAGGAGGCCCAGCCTTCCCATCCTGGCCATCCTGAGTCTGGGCTGGGACTCAACCACCCTGGGAGGCCCACCCTTCCCATCCCGGCCATCCTGAGTCTGGGCTGGGACTCAACCACCCTGGGAGGCCCAGCCTTCCCACCCCTGCCATCCTGAGTCTGGGCTGGGACTCAACCACCCTGGGAGGCCCAGCCTTCCCACCCCTGCCATCCTGAGTCTGGGCTGGGACTCAACCACCCTGGGAGGCCCAGCCTTCCCACCCTGGCCATCCTGAGCCTGAGCTCAGACCTCAACCACCCTGGCAAGCCTAGCATTCCCATTCGGGCCATCCTGGAGCCTGGGTTGCCTTTGTGTCTTTGACCTTCCTGGCCTGGGTGTGGCAGTGGGGGGGCTCCTTTCTACCTCCAGGGCCCTGAGCCTCCAGCCTGTCTACCCCTGCGTGCCCCAGGTGGGAGGTGCTGGGTCCAGACGAGTATCCTGCCAACTCTGACCAATGGATGTATAGATGCTGGGAGAGGCATCTAGAGTCAGGTTTGATGGCTCCCCCGGCCGCCGCCTCCTCTGAGATCCCTCCGTTTCTCCAAAGCAGATCCAGCCAGATAAGCCCTTCCCATCCCTCAGTGCCCCTTCTGCCCCGGGCCTGTGCCCGAAGGCTGGCTCGGCTTCAGGCTGCCTGGCTGAAGGGGCTGCTGCCCAAAGCAGGCGGCTGCACGGCGGCCAGCATCCTCTCCCCTCCCTCCTTGCCCTCCGGGCCCTCACTTCCCAGGAAGTCTCTCCACATCCCAGGAACAGTCTTCTGTCCTGAAGTTGACCCACGGTCTTCCCCCTGGGGAGTGACTAGTGGGAGTCGAAGGGCAGGGGCCACGGACGGCCAGGGCTCGCCCAGAGTGCAGGGGCCTGGGTGGGATTGGCAGTGATGGTGCTTCCCCGACTCTCAATGGCCTCCACCTCCTTCCTGCCCACACCGCCTTTTGGGTCCTCCTGGCTCTGGCCTATAAAATGACTCATTTGTAAATGATCATCATTTTCTGCATTAAAATGGTCATGTATGGACCACCCCTGAGAGCCACTAGTGAGGATTTGACCTGGATCCTGTGATATGCTCTGTGGTGGTGTGGAGGGGGTGTGGCCCCTCCCCTCTGGGGTCCCGGCTTGGGGCAGAATTGATGGTCTCACAGTTCTACTGCTTTTGAAGTTGACCCTGAAAGGGCAGAGCCTACAGGGAACAAGGCCGTGGATGCCTGCCCAGGCGACGGGCCAGGGAGACCCGCATGCAAGTGCTCAGCACTTCCTTGGTGCTCGCTCACCGCTGGCTGTTGAGTTGAGAGGGGAGTAGCTGAGAGCAGGCCAGGGTGATTATTTCTGGACCCACACGTGGCCTCGGTAGGGCAGAGAAAGAACGGAAGCTCAGAGCTGGGCGGGCACCTCCCACAGCCCCGTCTGCACTCCGAGGGCCAGCCTCGGGGCCCCGAGAAGGTGCCCGGTGCCCTTGGGAATAGCACCTGCAGCAGCAGTGGCTGCCTGCCAGGTGAGCCCCGCTTGGCTTGTGCTTGCAGAAGTACCCGTGAGCCGTGGCAACCTCTGCAGTCGAGCTGGCGCTGGAAGCTGGGGCCTTGTTCAAGGTCCTGGTGACCCAGCGTGGCCAGGCCCCTGGCGGGCAGCAGTATCACGCCTAGGAGGGCTGTCAGGAGGACGTGGGCAAAGGTCTGCCCCAGCGTAGGGCAGGTGCAAGAGCTGGGCACCTCGGACCCCTGGGGATCATCTCTGGGGTCAGGGGTCATGGGCACTACCTTCCTGGGGGCTGTAAGGCAGTGCCCACCCTCCCTGCCCCCTCAGACCATCCACCTCTGGAGCTGAGGGAGCCACTGTGAAGGCAGCTTTGTTCCCAGACGCCTGGGGCCTTGATGTACGCTTCCCAGGTAGCTCAGCGGTAAAGAATCCGCCTGCCAATGCAGGAGACGCAGGAAATGTGGGTTTGATCCCTGGATGGGGAAGATCCTCAGCAGGAAATGGCAACCCACTCCAGTATTCTTGCCTGGGAAATCCCTTGGACAGAGGAGCCTGCAGCCCACGGGACCACAAGGAGTTGGGCACAACTGAGTGAGTGAGCACAGCGCACCCTGATGCACTGAAACGGTGGCACGGTGGTGAGCGGGCAGCAGCTGGTATTGGGCCCCGGTTTCCTGTATCCCCGTGGCTTGGCCACCACCTGCAGCAGAGTTCATGAGTCTCCATCCCACTACAGCCTTTGAGAAATGATCCTCATCCCTTCAGTTCCCCAGGGGGTGGGCAGGGAGGAGCGGGTTGGGTGCTGGGAGGTTTGGGCACGCCACTGCCAAACAAAACCTGGAGTCTCACCGTGTCTCCTTTCACTGCCCCCGGCACTAACCAGCACCCCTGCCCACAGGCCTTAGCACCAGGCCTCCCAGATTCTGGGGTGGCCTGGGATGCTCCTTCAGGCCCCTTCCTGACACTGAGCAGGTGTTCTAGGCAAAGCACTCCTGGGCACACATTCATCTCTGCTCTGCTCTGCCCTGCCCCTTACCCTCCAAAGAGGTACCCAGGGCACAGAGAACAAGGCTGTGCCCCAGCTTCCTAGCAGTGTCCAGGCACTTTCCACCCACCTGACCTTTCCACCCATCTGATCCTGTGTTGCCTCTCCTGGGGCCAGGAGGTGGGGCTCCAGGGCCCCAACCACAGGTTCCCGGCAGTTTTCCTGCCCTTAAAGGATGTGGGCATGCGACTCTGTCTCTGCAATTGGGAGGACAGGACAAGGGTTGCTGGCGTGGGAGCTGGGTAGTATTGGCCTCAGGCTCCAGAGACCACAGGGGGCCTGGTAGTAGGGAAGTAAGGGGAGCTCAGGATTGGCTGCGGGTGAGGGTGAGCCTTGCTAGGCGTGTGCTGACCAGACTGCCCAGTTTGGGTTGGAACAGTTGGGGGCAGTGGTGGGGACCGACAGTGACAGGGAAAGGAGCGACTCTCCTGTGTGGCCACTAGGGGGCGGGCGCCACAGTCAGCCGAGTTTTCCTTCCCCAAGATCTGCCTGCCACGGCCCTGCTGGTGACTTGGGGCGGGAAGGCAGGAGAGAGGAGGCTCTGAGCTCTGGGAGGCTGGGCTGGGCAAAACCAGCGAAGGCTGGCAGCTAGGACACTCCCTAGATCAAAACACTGGGACCCTAATTCTTGGGTTTGTGGCCCTGGAATCAACCGTACCTACCTTCTCTTACCACTAGCCATCTCTAACTTAGAAATCCATTTTCCAGCATTCAAGAATTCCTGTTTGGGGAAGCTCACTACCACTTCTGGCCATCTTTGTCAAAAAGTTTATGTTAAGTCAAAAATGTTGACCCTTGAGACTTTCATCAAAAGGCCAGGCTAGTGCTACCTTATGAGCTGCATCAAATACCTGTGTTGCCCACCTGGCAGCTTTAAACAAAACAGTCTTGTTCTTTCTGCCCTACCCTCACCTCCTCTTTTCTGGACCAAACACCCCTGGCCCTCCCAACCACTCCTTGAAAGTCACGTCCATCCACCGGGCTCCCTGCAACCCTCTGAACAGGATGCCTGCCTCCGGGCCCCTCCAGTGTGAGAATGGCCTTTTCTGCGTCGGGCTGGCATGACGCACCTGAGGTCAGGAATGTGTGGTGCACCCTGGCTCCTCACCTCCCTGGTCAGCACACACTTCCGTTAATCCACCCCAAGTCTAACTGACGCAGCACTGTTAGCTCTGCTGCCCCAATTTCATATTAATGGGATTATTTCAGCTACAAGAGTTGGTCTTTTTATCAGCTCTTCTTGCACTTTGAGAGTTTCAGTCATCCAGCTCTTAGGGACTGTTACTTCCCTTCTGTGATACACAGATATTTGAAATCCTCATTTCAAAGTGTAAGGTCACAGAGCCCTGAAATACAGAAATAGCGACCCTGCTTCATTCATCAGTATCCTAGGGGGCTCATGGTGTCTGCGCGAGCCCTTTTGCGGAATGAGAGTCATTAGATTTTCAAAGGGCTCCTTCTCTGAGAGAGGATAACATGCCTTGATTCTCAGACGAGGGTAATGAGGCACAAAGGGGAGATGACATCCCCCCAACTCACGCACAGGACCACACGGCCAGTCCTGCGGAGAGCTTCCCGAGTTCCTCTTACCATGGTGCTCTTAACACTGCGTTCTCTTCTTCGGACCTGAGGGCGCGCTGTGGCGAGGCTGGGCTCCCCGCCTGTGGTGCATGTGGGCCCTGGGGGCCGTCTAGCCCGGCCTCCTTGGCCCGGGATGTCTCCTCCTCGGCTCCATGGGGCTGCCACCAGGGGCAGTGGTGCCGGGCTGGGGCGCACTGAACTGTGGCCTTAGGCCAGCCTGCCTCCCCACCCCTCCCGGCGAGGGCCAGATTCTGAAACGGTCTGTCTTTATTATATCAACAAAAACAAAAAATCCCCCCCCAAGTGTAAACAGGAGAAATGTGCTGGTTAAGTTACTAATCATTATCTTATTATTAACAAAATAAAGCACTATCTATGTTTACAGTCATAAAAAAAAGAAACAGCTGGAGAAAAGCTGGGTGTGGGGCAGGAGAAGGGGGAAGTTGGGGGAACAGACACAAACTCCACATCTGTCCCTGTGGGGTGTGGGTTCCCTTCCCACCCTGCCCAGGGCTGTTCTGGATCTTTGGAGTCAGGTGCCAACAGGATTTGATTTTCTTGGGGAAAGACTCAGTGATAGGGACCAGGACCCAGGTAAGCTCCCGGTGTGGCGTGGGGGACAGGGAGAGGATGAAGCCCCCCAGAACACGGAGCCTGCCCACCTCCGGCTCGAGGGGTGTGGAGCCCCGTGGCCTCGAGAGCCCTCCCACGCTCCTGCCGCTTACAGAAGGGGCACTGCCAGTGCTCCGCCCCGCTCCTGGCACTCAGGTCGGGACGGGGCTGAGGTGCCAGCACAGGGCCCTCTGGAGGCCAGCACGTCCCCGGCCGCGGGAGCTGGAAGTGGAAGGGACTCCCGGGGAGCTTACAGTGGAGTCAGGGAGGCAGTGACAGAGTGGGCAGGAGCGGCCGGGATGCCCGGGGACCCGGGGCAGACTGGGGCCTGCAGAAACCCAGTGGGTGTCAGAGGGGCAAGGGCAGGCATTGGGGAAGGGAGAGACACAAACAGACCCTGCAAAGAGGCAAGGACAGAAATGCACTACGGACACACAGAACCTGAGACGCCCAGAGTGACATAGAGAGGTAGCAATTTGGGGACAGACAGAGGCGCAGAA